AGAGAGGGGGGATAGAGGGTGGTAGTGACAGGGGATTAGGAAGAGAGGGGGGATAGCGGGTGGTAGTGAGGGGGGATAAGGAAGAGAGGGGGATAGAGGAGGGATAGTGAGGGGGATTAGGAAGACAGGGAGGATAGAGGGTGGTAGTGAGGGGGTATTGAGAAGAGAGGGGGGTAGTGAGGGGGGATTAGGAAGAGAGGGTGGTAGTGTGGGGGGATCAGGAAGAGAGGGGGTAGATTGGGTATAGTAAGGAGGGATTAGGAATAGAGCGGGGATAGAGGGTGGTGGTGAGGGGGGATTAGGAAGAGAGGGGGGATAGAGGAGGGATAGTGAGTTGGGATTAGGAAGAGAGGGGGGGGGTAGTGAGGGGGCATTGGTGGGAGAGGAGGGATAGAGGGGGAATAAGGAAAAGAGGGGGGATAGAGGGTGGTAGTGACAGGGGATTAGGAAGAGAGGGGGATAGCAGGTGGTAGTGAGGGGGGATAAGGAAGAGAGGGGGATAGAGGAAGGATAGTGAGGGGGGATTAGGAAGAGAGGGAGGATAGAGGGTGGTAGTGAGGGGGTATTGAGAAGAGAGGGGGATAGAAGGTGGTAGCGAGGGGGGATTAGGAAGAGAGGGTGGTAGTGAGGGGGGATTAGGAAGAGAGGGGGTAGATTGGGTATAGTAAGGAGGGATTAGGAATAGAGCGGGGATAGAGGGTGGTGGTGAGGGGGAATTAGGAAGAGAGGGGGGATAGAGGAGGAATAGTGAGTTGGGATTAGGAAGAGATGGGGGGTAGTGAGGGGGCATTGGTGGGAGAGGAGGGATAGAGGGGGGATAAGGAAGAGAGTGGGGATAGAGGGTGGTAGTGAGGGGGTATTAGGAAGAGAGAAGGGATAGAGCATGGTAGTGAGAGGGGGATAAGGAAGAGAGGGGGGATAGAGGAGGGATAATGAGGGGGGATTAGGAAGAGTGTTACCCGAAATTCATTCTGCAGCTGTCCTGTCCCAATGTAGCAGGATCATGAATTTTCCTGGTGATTTTGATAATTCAAAAATTATTTATGAAAAATAGAGTTAGTTCAGGATTCCAATGTCAAGGTCACCATTGCTATTTATAGAAAATCATAAAATGATTCATTGGTATGGCAAAGTGACTTCATGAAATAAAGACTTATAGTGAGTTCATGTTTGAGGAGGTCAAATTCACTAATGTCTTTAGAATAGTTAATAGATACAATGCTGAATTAATTTGCATAGTAGAGAAGATTTCTGTCCCATAGATCCTCTTTCTTGTGAAGAAGATAATGTGCTGGTTTCATAATATAGCTATTATTATTATTGCATAAACTTTCAGCTTGTTGAGTAAGCCTTTCTGAAAAGTGTTCATTTTATTGTATTTTTTATTCTGAAGTTTTAGTTAACATGTAGAATTGTTATTTTTCACTATTTTTGAAAATTGATTAACAAATGTAAAAAATTGGAGTCTTGAAAATATAATATAATTTTATTGGTAGAGAAATCATGTTTTATGACTTTTGTGAGAAATGTACCAGGTATACTTTTTGTTTCAAGCATTTGAACCAAGCTTAAATCAACAATTATAATACTAAATTTATTCTCATGGGTAATGTCCCACCCTTGTCCTATATCACTCTGTATTGAATAGATAGTGAATTGAACTATGTGAATTATTAACGTGTACAGGTCCAGTAGAAATCTGCAGGCTGTGTTAGGTATTGATCCTATAAACAGGTTTAACATTATAATATACATTATGATGATAATAATCCTATGTTATAGAGGCAGTCTTAATACTTATTGTACACACAGTTGAATGATTGAAGGTTTACATAGGGACTTAATTTTTGAACTTCCTACACCTGAGTTGGTGATAAATCTCTGGGTATATATATAAATATACTGAAAGGATAAAGAAACGCAGGGTAATATTTATTCCGATATTTTGAAAACGCGTTCTCCAAATAAAGTGAAACTTTGTGGATTGAGTAATTAGGTCATATTACACCTTGCCATGTATCGAAAATTTAGTCACGGTACAGTGCGCAGCTCTGGTAAATGGAGGAAAGAAAAAACAAGAATCTCATGCACCGTGTTGTTCTGGTCTCATGCAGCGTTGGTCAAGTCACTCTTCGTTAGTCTTTATACAGACCAACTGCTTCCCTAAAATTAATTTAGAATTTGATTCGTTTTAAGAATGGCACGACTCACAGAAGTTCAGAGGGGTCAGGCCATTCAGATGCTGATGCAAGGACAGCTGCAAAATCAGGTTGCTAGGCACTTTGGTGTTAATGTTTCCACCATAGAACGTCTTGAAAGACGTCTTCGGGAAACTGGGCGATTGGCCGATCGACCTAGGTCAGGACGTCCGCACGTGACGTCACGACGTCAGGATCACTATATCGTCATCTCTCATGTGCGTAATCGGCGCCTTACTGCCGTTGAGAGTGCACTTAATGTTCGTGGAAATCATGGGCGTCCTGTAAGTTCAAAAACTGTAAGGAATCGATTATGAGAAGAGTAAGAGTGTAAGAGCACGTAGGTCCACACCTTATCCCTGCTTGACGTCAGCGTCGTATGGCCTGGGTCACTGCACATGCTCCATAACGGTTTCCACTGAGGCAGTGGAGACAAGTTTTCTCCACGGATGAGTCTCGATTCTGTCTTTATTGTTCTGACGGCCGTCAACGTGTCTACCGACGTCGTGGCGAATGTTTTACGGACGCTTGCGTTGTAGAGAGGGATAGGTTTGGGGGCGGTTCAGTAATGGTGTGGGGAGGAATCTCACACCGGTTAAAATCACAATTGGTTGTTATTGATGGCAATTCAACAGCAGCTAAGTATAGAGATGAGATCCTCCGACCCCATGTGATCCCTTTCTTAAGCAGCATAATCTAACCCTCCAGCAGGATAATGCTAGGCCCCACGTAGCAAGGATTTGCCAAGTCTTTCTAGCCAACAACAACATTCAACCACTAGATTGGCCGCCATATAGCCCTGATTTGTCCCCGATCGAGCATCTTTGGGACCAGTTGGATAGACAGGTTCGAAAGCGCCAGCCACCCCCTGCTACTTGAGAGCAGTTGACCAGAGCTCTAATTGAAGAGTAGGACAACATCCCCATAAGACGGATAAACGCTCTCCTGAACTCTATGACCAGAAGAATAAGGGCCGTGACCACAGCAAACGACGGACACACAAGATATTGATGACTCAGTTCAATTTCAATTTCAAAACCTATGGGTCCATTCAATTTAATCATTAGTACCTCTAAACCAATTGTCAGATGCAAAATACAGACTTTGGAAATTTTTAAGTTTTAATTTATCTGTAAGTATACAAAATTTCGTTTTAAATGAAGCCCGATATCATACTCAATTTCTGGTTTAAAGTTCACCCTGCGTTTCTTTATCCTTTTAGTATATATGTGTGAAAAGATGATTTAAAGTGTAATGTAAAAATGATAAGATTATGTTTTCTATGTTCATGGAAACTTTTTAACATTAAAAGTATTATCAGTTCATCCCTGAACTGATATATGAAATGTATAATATATAAAGTGGAGTGTGAGTGTTTGATTCCAAGACTAGTTTTCTGTGTTGATTTTTATGTGTATGATGCAGAACGATGTAATATGATCAAAAATAGATAGGGTGTTCGTTTATAAAATGATCTCATTTTGTCATTATTCCACCTGTTCTTTTATGAAGTTCTTATTTTATTTCAGTTCCTTAGTGCTAATCTCTGATAGTATAACGTTCCCTGTAATTCCTCTCTGATTGAATTAAAGATTCACTTTTCTGTTTTCTGTTTCACGTTTGCTTGCTGATATTATCATTTATAGAGACAGTAGGACCTCCTTAGTCCAAATATTTATCCAAAATGCTTTTGCCATGAAATTCAGAGGTGGTGTTGGGGAAGGGGGGGGGAACATTATAGATAGCGTTGCTCATGTTTGTCCCATCCAAATTCAATATGAGCACCTGGCAACATCATTCTTTGACAGATTTTGGTCAAACTTTAAGCAAAGGTCAATTATGAGTGTGCCTTGGACATTGTTGTGTTTCAGGGTCAAAGGTCAAGGTCACCCTTGCTATATTTAGGAAATAAATCAGTTAAACACTTAAGAACTTCATCCTTTATGGGATGTGGTCAAACTTTATGAAATTACCAGGTGCCAGTGTACTTTGGACATTATTGTGGTTCAGGGGTCCAAGGTCAAAGCCAAGGTCAGTGATGCTTTATATGTAGAAAATATAACAAGTTCAATTTACACACATTATGACTTCATTCTTTCACAGAGTTTGGTCAAACTTTATACAAAGATCAATGATGAGTATACTTTGGACCTTGATAGTTTCAGGAATACAAGGTCAAAGCCTTGGCATTTGGGACACGTATGTCTTAGGTATTTTCTAGTTTTGGGAGAAGGGGGTAGGGGAAGTAATTCCATTCTCTAAAGAATTCACATCAAAAACAAAACAAAAAACCGTCCATAATAACAAAGTCATGTTGTAAATCAAGAAATATTCTGCTTCTGGATCTTCTTGTTTTCTGAAAACTCTATTGTTGATTAGGTTTGACATAATCTTGGACAAAGGAGGTTCACTGGTAATAAATTCTGGTTACAGGAAAAGTTATTTTAATTTGATGAAGATATTGAAAGTATTTTCATAAATTTCTCTTTAGTTTTGAATTAACATAGATCTTATGATTATCTTTGTGATGAGATTGATTTCATTATAACATGATGATTAATTACAAGAATGTATTTCATGATAAGTTTTGGTTTAATGTTATACACAGTAATATGAAAAATCATAATTATGATCTTTAGTTTTAAAATTTGTTTGTAAAAAAGTAAAACTATATGGATTTTAGTGGTATACAATCTCATATTAAAATATTGTACAAATGTAATATCAATTCCAATTTAATAATATTTACTTGTGGATTACTTCCCTTAGATTAACTCTCCCTAATTGTATTTGACTTCAAAGGTTATGGACAGCCTCAGTATGGACAGCCAATGCAGCCTCAGTATGGCCAGCGTAAGTATAACATCATTTGAATCTCTTGGATGGTCAGGTGTATTCTGATTAGAACAGATGAACTTAAGATATATATAAATTGTGAAGCATACAGGAATATTTTTACCAGTTCTTGGTATATTCGTTTAGATGTGCCTTTTGACAACAATGAAGAAAATATTAGGAATGAGGATGGAATGCCTTTATTTTTTTCTCTGCCCACACTTTGGTAAGGGATGTTAAATGTGTATATAGTAATCACTGTGCTTTCGTGTGTACATTTGTCGGTGATATCATAGTGTATAAGATATTTCATAAGTTCATATTCACACTGTAGCATGACCCTACCTGGGTAGATTTTCATGGTCATCGTCTAGGTTACAGGTCTTGACCACTTTCGTAATGAAAAGCTTGTGTTAAAGATAACTAATGAACCACTTAACCCCTCAATAGATTTAGGTCAGAATAAGAAGATAAGGGATTAGGGCTATATCTATATGAGCCCCTGCTCCCTGTTGTTTTACTTCATCAAATGGACAATGAAGTTTGTGTTGATATGTTGAATTGGATAAGCTTTGTAATAAAAAACTTAAAAAACAGGTGTGAAAATAAACAATAGTCTTGTCCTGGTGTGAAAATAAACAATAGTCTTGTCCAGTTGTGGAAATAAACAATAGTCTTGTCCAGTTGTGGAAATAAACAATAGTCTTGTCCAGTTGTGGAAATAAACAATAGTCTTGTCCAGTTGTGGAGATAAACAATAGTCTTGTCCAATTGTGGAGATAAACAATAGTCTTGTCCAGTTGTGGAGATAAACAATAGTCTTGTCCAGTTGTGGAAGTAAACAATAGTCTCGTCCAGTTGTGGAAATAAAAAACAACACAATTTTAAGTTCATTTAGAATTATTACAACAAACTTCACTGAATCATTTTTATATGCTGATTTTGATATGTTATTTAAATTCTTTATACCTTAAGTGTTTCCACATGTACATTTGTACACTATAATAGGAAGACAGAAGCTGTTTACATTTGTACACTATATTAAAGTGACAGTTTTGGCTTATGACTGATCGTATTGGCAGGTTGATCATCCACAAGGTGAACGGTTAAATTTTTTGGCCCAGGCCAGTACTTGGTTGCCCTGGTACTTTCGGTTGTTGTTTACACAGCCAATAGAGATTACCTCACAATCACGACTAAAGGTATGCTTACCTGACATACCTCCATCAGTGTGCAGAGGCTTACTGAGACTAATGCATGTTTGCATGCATTATAGACTTTGAGGCTTGATTTCACTGAGCAAAACCTAGTTACACAAAAATGTTTGATATACACAAGCACAGACATTCGGGTACAACAAAAGACATACATGTAGCAAAGCTCCAGTTATGAACAGAGATGTCTGTTGAGATGAAGACTAATGGAAACCTATAGGCTGTACAAAACTTTGCTGAAAACTTAAATGACAAAGTAGGTCAGGGTGTAGAATTATACTGAGGCACTACCGAAGGGGTCCCATTTAACTGCTACAAATCTGATTATTTACCATCCTTTATAGGTCATCAGAATGAGGTAAAGGTCTGTGTTATACGCTACAGCTATGCCCTGGGCAAAATTAAATTGTAAACTATTTCATGGCTGGATAATTAATAATTTGAAAAAAATTGCAAGCAACCATTTTATGTAGATAAATTGTTATACATTTGAGAAGTATTTAATTTTCTCTATCATCATGTTATGATACACAGCACTGAACAGATAAAAGAATATATATTTTCATCACTGGACAGATAATAGAATATATATTTTCACATCACTGAACAGATATTAGAATATATATTTTCATCACTGGACAGATAATAGAATATATATTTTCATGTCACTGAACAGATAATAGAAAATATATTCTCATCACTGGACAGATATTAGAAAATATATTTTCACATCACTGAACAGATAATAGAATATATATTTTCACATCACTGGACAGATAATAGAATATATATTTTCACATCACTGAACAGATAATAGAATATATATTTTCACATCACTGAACAGATATTAGAAAATATATTTTCACATTACTGAACAGATATTAGAATATATATTTTCATCACTGGACAGATAATAGAATATATATTTTCATCACTGGACAGATATTAGAATATATATTTTCACATCACTGAACAGATATTAGAATATGTATTTTCATTACTGGACAGATAATAGAATATATATTTTCATGTCTCTGAACAGATATTAGAATATATATTTTCACATCACTGAAAAGATATTAGAATATATATTTTCACATCACTGGACAGATATTAGAATATGTATTTTCACATCACTGGACAGATAATAGAATATATATTCACATCACTGGACAGAAATTAGAATATATATTTTCACAGCACTGAACAGATATTAGAATATATATTTTCACATCACTGAACAGATATTAGAATATATATTTTCACATCACTGGACAGATAATAGAATATATATTTTCACATCACTGGACAGATATTAGAATATGTATTTTCACATCACTGGACAGATAATAGAATATATTCACATCACTGGACAGAAATTAGAATATATATTTTCACAGCACTGAACAGATATTAGAATATATATTTTCACATCACTGAACAGATATTAGAATATATATTTTAACATCACTGGACAGATAATAGAATATATATTCACATCACTGAAAAGATGAAAAAGAATATATATAACATCAGTGATAGAATATGAAATACATGATATATGTTGAAGAGACTTACCCTCTAACAGTTTAAACATTTCAAGAGGAAAATTTTTTGTTCTTGGTATAGCTTGGTATTGTGAAGTTTGGTGAATGAAACATGGGTCAAAATACCATAATAGTGAAGTGGAGTGCTAATTGAGTTTAATTGATTGATTTAGCAAATATCTTGTGCATGGCTATCATAGGTTGTTGTTTTTTGGCTGGCTACAAGTAATAATAATATCAATGTCTTATTCCTGGGAGTAACACATGTTATGATTTCTTTGTCAATTTTCATTTCAAGATACATTTTTTCTTTGTTTTTGATTATCTTACAATTTTACTCCATCCTGAAAAATGCAAAAAATTGAATTACCATTTATGGTAATATGAATACAATTGTACATGTAATTTATTGAGAATACCTAATTTGTATGTATGATTGTTACTATTTATATAGCTGGAGTAGCTGTAGCAATGAACATACCTGGACAGCCCCCAATGGTCCAATGGATGGCTCGACCCCAGGCTATACCTGGCTGTCCCCCTGGCCTTGAATACCTCACCCAGATTGATCAACTTCTCATCAAACAACAGATTGAGATTCTAGAGTGTAAGTTTTGTACATGTTTTACAAAAATCATAAATCTCTCAAGGTATGACAACAAAGGGATGAAGAAAACCTGTGCCTGATTGCTGATTAATAGCGTTTCTTCACTAAATGCATACAGCATTCTGTAACAATTCTGTAATGCTTGTGTGGTCCTGTCCTGTCCTGTCAATGGACCAAAACTTGAAATCTGGAAATCCCTGGCTAGAATTTCATTCACAAACTTGAAATTGTTGGTTACATTGATTGAATTTAATGTTATGTGTGTGCTTGAACAGCTTACCTCATATCCTTGGATGAAGCGTTATCAGTTCTGTGTAAACAGTACATCCAGGCCCCCTTGGGTGGTAGGGTTGGGCCAAACAGGGGATATGTAAGTTCTTAAAAATCCTTCTTCCATACAAAGACATTATCCAAGTTTGGTCAGAAACAATTTATGTTTGACCAAAAGGCTGGGACCAAATAGGGAAATTATTTCAGTAATTGTTTGTCATATTAGAAATTCTTTGTTGAATTAGCAAGTTGAGCTATGCAGGACCCGTGGGCCTCTTGTTATGATATATTACACAGTTTGTATCATCCAGTCCTATAAGAATGTTTCAGGATACATGAGATTTAATACGTGTATCATTTCTAATCTGTACACCAATATGTATGGTACACTTGCTCTAGTAATATGATAAAAGCATGAATCACTGATCTCATGGTCATTATTATACAGTGTTCACTGGCTGGGAAATGGCCAACAAATACAAGGTCCTCAACAACCAGGGTCAGCAAGTCTTCTTTGCTGCAGAAGGTAAGTCTACATTGATCATTAAAGATGCAGGGGAGATAACTCCTTCATATTTTCAGTTAAACAGTGGGAAATCAACGCAAGATGTACACTTCTGAATGATACTTTTTATGACTTGGAGATTGAAGATTAAGGGGCTTGCTGTCTTTCTTTCTTTTTCTTTTTCTTTGTCTTCCTTCCTTCCTTTCTCCTTTCTGCTTTCTTTTTTACTTTCTTTCGTTCTACTTTTTTTCTTTCTTAATCTCTTTCTTCCTTCCTTCCTCCTTTCTTTCTTTTTTTCTTTTTTTCTTTCTTTCTTTCTTTCTTTCTTTCTTATGGTATATGGCTATTCCCTTAAATGCCTATAAATTTCAGTCTTATTTGATAAGGCATTTTGCTTTATGCTAATAAGATCTTGGATGAGGTGGATATTGGTCAAAATCCATCAACATTTGCCATAGTTACAGACCTTTAAAAAAAGGAGAAAAAATCTTTTATTTTTGCTACCAGACAAAACAAAATTTTGTATTGCTCTAGTGAGATCTCTAAAGTGTTCACCTATACCTGTGAAGTATTACAATAAGTGCCTTTCAGTTGAGTGCCTTTGCCCTCATGTTTGCCTAGCCCTCATGTTTGCTCAGCTCTCATCTTTGCTTAGTCTTCATGTTTACTTAGCCCTCATGTTTGCTTAGCCCTCATGTTTGCTCAGCCATCATATTTGCTCAGCCTTCATGTTTGCTCAGCCCTCATGTTTGCTCAGCCCTCATATTTGCTTAGCCTTCATATTTGCTTAGCCTCCATGTTTGCTCAGCCTTCATGTTTGCTCAGCCCTCTTGTTTGCTTAGCCTTCATGTTTGCATAGCCGTCATGTTTGCTAAGCCTTCATGTTTGCTTTGCCCTCATGTTTGCTCAGTCCTCATATTTGCTCAGCCCTCATGTTTGCTTAGCCCTCATGTTTGCTTAGCCTTCATGTTTGCTTAGCCTTCATGAATAACACACTTCTTTTTGAGAGCATTGGTTTTTAATCTTATCTTATTCATACCTGAGCTGAGGAGCATTGGATGATTTAGGAGTTATTCCTTCTACTGACATCCAGCATATCTTGAATGGAGTGCCATTTTCTGATGAGTGATTAGATGTAGAAAATCTTATCTGAATCTTGTTCCTAATATTTCAGAATCTGATACATGTGAACGACAGTGCTGTGGACCTAACAGAGGTTTCAACCTTCACATCACTGACAACACTGGACAGGTAAGTTCAGGGTTTTTTTCTTACAGACAGTTGACACAGGGTAGGTAAGTTAGCAGGTGTTATAATAGACAGCTGTCACAGGGCTGGTAAGTTAAATGGTATGTTAACAGATGGCTAGCAGGTGCAGTAGACAGTTGACACAGAGCAGGTATCAACATTTTTTTCAGACATAATTATTTTTGGATTGTAACCCATTAAATCATTAAATGTCCAGAGGTTAATGTGTCTTGTCTGATTTAATACCTTTTGTCTCTATGTAGGAAATCATCAAATGTACTCGTGAGTTTAAGTGCTGTGTGGGTTGCTGCTGGTGCGCCAATGCTGATGGCTGTGCACATGAAATCGCTGTGGAGTCCCCTCCAGGCACCATCGTGGGATACGTGAGGCAGGAGTAAGTTTTTTCTAGAAATTACACTTTGACTCCCCTAATAGAATGATGGGAGACACATTGTGTTCTCTGATGAGAGGCACATAGTGTTCTCTGACGAGAGGCTCATTGTGTTCTCTGACGAGAGGCACATTGTGTTCTCTGATGGGAGGTACATTGTGTTCTCTGATGGAAGGTACATAGTGTTCTGTGACGAGAGGCACATAGTGTTCTGTGACGAGAGGCACATTGTGTTCTCTGATGGGAGGTACATTGTGTTCTCTGATGGGAGGCACATTGCATTCTCTGTCCTCATTGTGTTTATGCTTGATTGATTGCACTGTGTTTACACTAGTTTCTTGTTTAGGAGGCTGACTGATTACACTGTGTTTACACTGGTTTCTTGTTTAGGAGGCTGAATAATTACACTGTGTTTACACTGGTTTCTTGTTTAGGAGGCTGACTGATTACACTGTGTTTACACTGGTTTCTTGTTTAGGAGGCTGAATAATTACACTGTGTTTACACTGGTTTCTTGTTAAAGGTTGCTAAGGAGGCTGACTGATTACACTGTGTTTACACTGGTTTGTTGTTAAAGGTTGCTAAGGAGGCTGACTTATTACACTGTGTTTACACTGGTTTGTTGTTAAAGGTTGCTAAGGAGGCTGACTGATTACACTATGTTTACACTGGTTTGTTGTTAAAGGTTGCTAAGGAGGCTGACTGATTACACTGTGTTTACACTGGTTTCTTGTTAAAGGTTGCTAAGGAGGCTGATTGATGACACTTTTTACACTGGTTTGTTGTTAAAGGTTGCTAAGGAGGCTGATTGATTACACTGTGTTTACACTGGTTTCTTGTTAAAGGTTGCTAAGGAGGCTGACTGATTACACTGTTTATACTGGTTTCTTGTTAAAGGTTGCTAAGGAGGCTGACTGATTACACTGTGTTTACACTGGTTTGTTGTTAAAGGTTGCTAAGGAGGCTGACTGATTACACTGTGTTTACACTGGTTTGTTGTTAAAGGTTGCTAAGGAGGCTGATTGTTTACACTGTGTTTACACTGGTTTGTTGTTAAAGGTTGCTAAGGAGGATGACTGATTACACTGTGTTTACACTGGTTTGTTAAAGGTCGCTAAGGAGGCTGATTGATTACACTGTGTTTACACTGGTTGTTAAAGGTTGCTAAGGAGGCTGACTGATTACACTGTGTTTACACTGGTTTGTTGTTAAAGGTTGCTAAGGAGGCTGATTGATTACACTGTGTTTACACTCATTTGTTGTTAAAGGTTGCTAAGGAGGCTGGTTGTTTAAAGTTGATGTTGAATACTAATTTGACATTATTATGGATTGAGGGGAAATTTATTTACTTGATTTGATTGGGACCTGTAGTAAGTTTTTGTTGTATTCCATCACTACAAAACGATACACTGGCAGAAAAGACAAAGCATATTGATAGATATTCACTGCAGCTTTCACCTGTCTTCTCTATGGTCATTTGGCCAAAGTAACAGGTAGGTTTAAAGGTAAAGTGGATATTTGGGTTTAGATTATGTAAGGATGAGTTTACTGCTGGTAAAAATGTTTAAATCTGACAGCAGAAAGAAACACTGGATGGATATTTCTCTATATCCAGTACTCCCTGAATGTAAGTTAACTGACTGTTCCTTCTTAATTTTCCTAGGCAGAGTTGCTGGACTCCACACTATAGTATCAGGGATGCCAACCATGAGCCTGTCCTCAATATCAAAGGTCCATGCTGTGTGATGAATGGATGTTGCTGGGATCAGGAGTTTGTTGTAAGTAATACAGTTAGATTAAGGGTCAGAGGTTAAGGGTCGAGTTTAAGATCCACCACCCCATTGACCTTGATTTAGTCAGTTTCTACATAGTTTCACATTATAGAGAGATAACATGTTACGAAATATTTTTATAAAGACCATATTGTATAATAAGTATAGAGAGATTGTAAAAGATCTAGTATAATGAAAGGGTTTGACTTAATCTATCCTTGTAACAGAAAACAGTTTTGTGTGAGTTCGACTTTCAAAATTGTGACCATATAAAGTACATCTACAACAGTTGTTCATATGTAATGGTGAACATTGATGCTCTGTCCAATACAGGTGTGGTCAAAAGACTGGACCGCAGAGGTTGGCAAACTCAGCAAACAGTGGAGTGGATTTGCTAAAGAGTATTTCACTGATGCTGATAACTTCGGAATTACATGTAAGTTTAAACAGGGTTATCTCCCCCTGCTGCCATATAAGTCTTTAAACAGGGTTATCTTCCTACTGTCATATTAGTCTTTAAACAGGATTATCTTCTTACCGTCATATAAGTCTTTAAACAGGGTTATCACCCTACTGTCATATAAGTCTTTAAACAGGGTTATCTTCCTACTGTCATATAAGTGTTTAAACAGGGTTATCTCCCCCTGCTGCCATATAAGTCTTTAAACAGGGTTATCACCCTACTGTCATATAAGTGTTTAAACAGGGTTATCTTCCTACTGTCATGAAAGTGTTTAAACAGGGTTATCTTCCTACTGTCATATAAGTGCTTAAACAGGGTTATCTCCCGCTGCTGCCATATAAGTCTTTAAACAGGGTTATTTCCCCCTACTGTCATGTAAGTGTTTAAACAGGGGTATCTTCCTACTGTCATATAAGTGTTTAAACAGTGTTATCGCCCTACTGTCATATAAGTGTTTAAACAGGGTTATCTCCCCCTGCTGCCACATAAGTGTTTAAACAGGGTTATCTCCCCCTGCTGCCATATAAGTCTTTAAACAGGGTTATCTTCCTACTGTCATATAAGTCTTTAAACAGGGTTATCTTCCTACTGTCATATAAGTATTTAAACTGGGTTATCACCCTACTGTCATATAAGTGTTTAAACAGGGTTATCTTCCTACTGTCATATAAGTCTTTAAACTGGGTTATCTCCCTGGGACAGGGCCCCAAAAGTTGAATTCAGCCAAAAAGTTTAAATGCTTCTCCTTAATGCTTCAATGGATTTCAAGCATTTCCCGCAAAACATCATTTAGGGAAGGTATTCACATATGTATAAATGAAGTTGATTCAATCCTTATAGATTTCAGTCTGGGGTCCCACGCTATTCATCCCTCTCTTTGATTAATTTCAAACAAAATTGGTCAGAATCATCACTTGAAAGGGGCAATCATAATTAGTATAAATGAAGGTATTTTAACTCCCGAGGGCCAGGAATGAGATCTGTCACCGGAAATTAGGAAAACGAGAGTATAAAATGATTCTCTCCTATACCTTTACAGATTCCCAAAGATTCCTGATTTTTGTTTTCATTTAATATTTTGTGAAGAGCACATGCACTCTATATTTTTTTGATCAGATGACCGTAAGGGTCCATGGCCCTGTTGTCCTTTCAAGTTTGAGCCTTGTGTTTTGACTTTTATGTTTAATGTTGTCTTCAGTTCCCATGGATTTGGATGTCAAGCTGAAGGCAGTCATGTTGGGCGCTGTGTTCCTCATTGTAAGTGTTTTTCATCTTTAAATAAAACTATTCAAATCACCCAGATTCCTTTTGATGTATCTCACTGCATAATTGCAAAAGGTACCTCTTGTGGGGTGCAGATCGTGAGGGGTCTCTCCAATGTCTTGAGTTTACAGGACATCAGAGAACCCAAGAAAAGGGTTCATAGTATATCACTCTTTGTTTATACTAGATGACATGGGTCTATTGCTAAATCAGGGATTTTCTACTGTGTCTTCAGTAAGGAGAGGTTGAAGAGATAGATTTGGTGTACCCACCACAACTCTTCAGATTTTCATCTTTTCCTTTCTTTCCTGTCGAAATTTTTTTATTTGTATTTTATTTTCTCTTCATACCTGTTGTCATGTGACCCTGTCTGTTGGTGTCTCTCTTGACACCTATCTTCATGTGACCCTGTCTGTTGGTGTCCCTCTTGACACCTATCTTCATGTGACCCTGTCTGTTGGTGTCCCTCTTGACACCTGTCCTCATGTGACCCTGTCTGTTGGTGTCCTTCTTGACATCTGTCCTCATGTGACCCTGTCTGTTGGTGTCCTTCTTGACACCTATCCTCATGTGACCCTGTCTGTTGGTGTCCCTCTTGACACCTGTCCTCATGTGACCCTGTCTGTTGGTGTCCCTCTTGACACCTATCCTCATGTGACCCTGTCTGTTGGTGTCCTTCTTGACATCTGTCCTCATGTGACCCTGTCTGTTGGTGTCCTTCTTGACACCTATCCTCATGTGACCCTGTCTGTTGGTGTCCTTGACATCTGTCCTCATGTGACCCTGTCTGTTGGTGTCCTTCTTGACACCTATCCTCATGTGACCCTGTCTGTTGGTGTCCTTGACATCTGTCCTCATGTGACCCTGTCTGTTGGTGTCCTTCTTGACATCTGTCCTCATGTGACCCTGTCTGTTGGTGTCCTTGACATCTGTCCTCATGTGACCCTGTCTGTTGGTGTCCTTCTTGACATCTGTCCTCATGTGACCCTGTCTGTTGGTGTCCTTGACATCTGTCCTCATGTGACCCTGTCTGTTGGTGTCCTTCTTGACATCTGTCCTCATGTGACCCTGTCTGTTGGTGTCCTTCTTGACACCTATCCTCATGTGACTCTGTCTGTTGGTGTCCCTCTTGACACCTGTCCTCATGTGACCCCGTCTGTTGGTGTCCCTTTTGACATCTGTCCTCATGTGACCCTGTCTGCTGGTGTCCTTGACATCTGTCCTCATGTGACCCTGTCTGCTGGTGTCCTTGACATCTGTCCTCATGTGACCCTGTCTGTTGGTGTCCTTGACATCTGTCCTCATGTGACCCTGTCTGTTGGTGTCCTTCTTGACATCTGTCCTCATGTGACCCTGTCTGTTGGTGTCCTTGACATCTGTCCTCATGTGACCCTGTCTGTTGGTGTCCTTGACATCTGTCCTCATGTGACCCTGTCTGTTGGTGTCCTTCTTGACATCTGTCCTCATGTGACCCTGTCTGTTGGTGTCCTTGACATCTGTCCTCATGTGAACCTGTCTGTTGGTGTCCTTCTTGACATCTGTCCTCATGTGACCCTGTCTGTTGGTGTCCTTCTTGACACCTATCCTCATGTGACCCTGTCTGTTGGTGTCCCTCTTGACACCTGTCCTCATGTGACCCCGTCTGTTGGTGTCCCTTTTGACATCTGTCCTCATGTGACCCTGTCTGCTGGTGTCCTTGACATCTGTCCTCATGTGACCCTGTCTGCTGGTGTCCTTGACATCTGTCCTCATGTGACCCTGTCTGTTGGTGTCCTTGATATCTGTCCTCATGTGACCCTGTCTGTTGGTGTCCTTGACATCTGTCCTCATGTGACCCTGTCTGTTGGTGTCCTTGACATCTGTCCTCATGTGACCCTGTCTGTTGGTGTCCTTGACATCTGTCCTCATGTGACCCTGTCTGTTGGTGTCCTTGACATCTGTCTTCATGTGACCCTGTCTGTTGGTGTCCTTGACATCTGTCTTCATGTGATCCCGTCTGTTTTGTTAAGACCACACATACATTGCTGTGTTTGAACACCTAGCTAAGCTTTGAATGGCTGAAGGTTACCATCAGTGACCTTGTATCCTTAATATAGAAAGTGATACAGAGCAAGAATATCTCCTGTTTAGGTTTTCTATCAGTTTTATAACATGATGTTTTCTAAAATCCTTGCAGAAGTATCCAACTTATGTGATGAACAAAGTCTTACTTTTGTTTCCATATGACCTTTCTAAAACTCACCAGACATTTTTTATTTCACCTTACCAAAGACCTCAATAATATGCAGTTTTTCGACTTTTTTAAAGATGTATTGGAAACTAATGTAAGATCCTCTGGACTACAATATAAGGATGTACAACTTAATGTATATATATGTATATATATAATGTTAAATTTTAATCTCTTTTCCCCAGGATTTCATGTTCTTCGAGCAGAAGCAGAACAATCACCATTAGGCCTTGGTTTCTGGAGAGGATCATAGATTTGGCAGTGGTATATAACAAAGTCCAGGAATTAGTGTGAAGAATCCTCAGCCGATTGTCAATGTATCTAAGATATTATTAACACAAAAGCTTACAAACCTTATAAAAAACAAAACAAAACCTCATTTGTTGTTGTGAGGACCATTTCAGAACTCTTTAGATTAACAGTTATCAGTAATGTCCGCAAGTTTGAATTGTGTAAACAATAGTCTCTTAATGAAAGACAGAAACCTGTGAAAACATTCTCATTGTTATAAGTCTATAGTGCCTCTCTTCTCTGTTCCAAATACATTTTATAGATATCTGGCTGTTAGATAGATATCTGGCTGTTAGATAGATATCTGGCTGTCAGTCTAACATGACAAAAGATCAACTTTGCCCGAGACATGTTAATTATGAGGCCTAACATTCAGAGAAAAAAATCAATGAAAGTGTTCTTAAACTCAAATTTTTACAAATATTTTACATTTTATTTAAATATATGTATAACCTGGTTATCAGTATACCTTTGTAAATAGTAGTCTAATCCCATGCACATTATTGTGTACCAATTGGAAGGAAACATTTACAGAGGCATTAGGTTCAGAAGATTACTGCAGCAAGAATTGGTGTACAATAGAACAAAAAGCTTTAATTTGTAAGATTATATTTCAGAAATATATATTTATTCAATTCAGGAGAAAATGCTTTGATATCTTTATAATGAATATATACAGTATATGTTTGAGAAGTGATTTGTTTCTTTGCCTTGGGTGAAACAAAACACCTTCTGGAAATGGACTTTTATATGTATTGTGTATGTATTCGTCCTGATATTCAGTCTCATGTATGAAATAAACATACTCGTTGAACTAAATACAAACTTTTATATATTATGGATGTTTGCCTGATAAATCTGACAGAAGTATTGGGAGTCATTGTACATCTAATTTTATATTGTTAGATTAAAAAGATTTTATTATAATATGGTTCAAATTTTGAACTCTTTTTTTTTTTTAACTTTGGACAATAGCATTGTTTAAAATCATTGATAAATAAAATATGATCGTTTTGGAATTACTCCAGTGTTATGAAACACTTGGTTACCTAAAAACTATTTTTAATATCAAGGATCTCATTGGTTAAATAGATTTTTGTTCCCCTCTCTGATATGTTACTTAACCTGGTTATGCTGATTGTAGAGTTTCCTAAATTATTTTATTCACATTTTTTTAAAAAAAGATTGTTATGGAAAATCTAAAACTTGGATGTAGGAGAAAACAAATGTACAAAAATATGACTGATGATATCAGGGACCACAGTGTAACATGCCTTAGTATGTTTCTGTTGCTTGTTTTTATGATGTAACTATGACTTTATGCAAAATCTCTTATCAAAAACTTATGATGAGAAATCACTTATAATATTTATTGGATATTATCTCACAGAATATTGTTGTCGTTATAAAACAATGTACGTTTCTAGTGTAACCCCAGTGAAGTAGACACAGGGGACATCATTACACATCTGTGTGTAGCAGAAAGATCAACTTTTGAAAAAGGATGGGTTACCTAGAAACAAACCATTTGTATTTGATGGTGGCTGTGTTGATCCAGCTGTATATACTGGAAGTTTCTGTAAGATTACAGTCGTGTCTACACACAGCTGTATATACTGGAAGTTTCTGTAAGATTACAGTCGTGTCTACACACAGCTGTATATACTGGAAGTTTCTGTAAGATTACAGTCGTGTCTACACACAGCTGTATATACTGGAAGTTTCTGTAAGATTACAGTCGTGTCTACACACAGCTGTATATACTGGATGTTTCTTCACACAGCTGATTTATTACACCATGACTCATGTATGATGAACGGAATTTGTTATAGTTGTTTATATCAGTGTTAACCTTCTTTTTGTACATGATTTTGGTATTATGTCTGTTAAAATACCTATTTACATGTGTCCTTGTTATACAATCCTAGATGTTATCATAGACATTTTTCAGATTTGATCTGAAATTGTTCATGAAACAAAAAGAAAAAGAAAATTAGTGTTGTGAACAGTTTTTTTAATGGTTTATAAGAAAATTAATTTTTTAAATATGTATTCAATAGCACAATCTTCCTCTCACATAAAGATATCTTTCAAACATATGCCTTGCTTTTTAAGTCTAGTAGCAATAGATGGTGTCAGGGAGACAACTCAGTCCTTTCTAAATCCAATTTCTTACAAAACCCCTATTGTAACAACAATCCATGGTGCAGGATTCATTGTAGCACACAACCAGGTTTGCAGTATAATTTGAAATAAAGCAAACTAATTATTTCATTTTTCATAGAGTAGAAAATAAATGTTTCCATTTTGAAGTGTCGTGTAGAAATATTTGATAGAGCGACAGAATTTTCAGCATTAGTAGATTAATATCTTCTGTTTGTTCAGGAAATTAGATACTTAACTTTCTTACACTTTTTCTTTGTTGTGTGAAATTATCATGACAATCATTTCATGTTTGATACCTTTCTTTATCAGGTTGATGGTTCGATACTGCTCGTTTTACTGACTGATCATTACTTTGTCTTGGTTGGTGATTCTACATCTTTTTATTCTCTATTATATGTGTACAGTGAAGGTGTTGACATACTGAAGACAATAAAATATAAAACATCAGAATCAAACTTTATATTGATGTAGTTCAACATCAACAGCTTTTTAGCATGGAAGTTTTAAGAACCTGTGAAATGTAAATATCAGTAAAATATTATCAGTTCGTAAATTATGAATTTTATTCGAGTCAGATACATTAAGTCCCTAGTGAAAAATATCTAGTTTTTATATGTGCTCTGCATCAAAGACATCTTGTTATGAAAATTTTTAACAATTCGTTTTTTTTTAAAGTCTGTTTCAATTGGGCCCAGTTTTTATTTATTTATTGATTTGGTATGTGATGACAATACATTTACATGTGTGGCACATTTCTATTTGTCATGATGTTTATTTGTTATTTCCGTTATTTTTTTATGTCTCTCATACTCATACATTTTTGGAGTCAAGAAAATCATATTAATAAAATAAAATTAAAAATAGGAAATCATCAGAATCAGATAAAATCTATTTTAGATTGATGAAAAGACAGTTCTTTGATATATAATGCAGAAATGAAATGTATCATGTAATTTGATATTTGTAGAACAAAGGACAGTTATATGCTTCAAAGAAACAGTGAAATAAATAGAAAAAAAAATGGAATGATAGGCATAGCACAAAAACCAAAATGCATTTAAAGATTTTGAACAGAAATGATCAAACCTGAATTTAACCCCTGTAGGAAACAACAGTGATGGAAAAGTGACGTCCATCACCAAAATGTTATTATAGTTTTATAAATGTGATTCTGTCTTAAAATATTTAAAATCAGTCACCAGAAGTGTATGTAGATCATTCCATTTTCTTTTTTCTTGTGTCAAAGCTAATTATAATGGGGGTGAGTATAATTCAGAATCTGAGGAAAAACTTCAAATTCAAACAAAGATATTAATAAATGTAACTTTTTTCTGTTAATTTATGCTGTAGCATAATTAAACCGCATTCTTTTACAATGCAGTTCTATGTTTAGAACATATCTGTACATTAAGTAACCACTTGTCATATTCATTAAAAAAAAATCTAATCATATGATGGTGTCGTTCCTTGTCTTTGGCCCCCTCCATTTATACATTTGTTATAGTTATCTTAAAATTCATCAAATTTATTTCTGATGCTGATGCCTTTCATATCTTGTGCCTTCTCCCTACAGTAAGGGTTATACGTCTAGTTCAGTGTAGGGGGGATAACAACAGTCAGGGTTATATGTCTAGTACAGTGTAGGGGGATAACAACAGTCAGGGCTATACGTCTAGTTCAGTGTAGGGGGGATAACAACAGTCAGGGTTATATGTCTAGTACAGTGTAGGGGGTGATAACAACAGTCAGGGTTATATGTCTAGTACAGTGTAGGGGGGATAACAACAGTCAGGGTTATATGTCTAGTACAGTGTAGGGGGATAACAACGGTAAGGGTTATATGTCTAGTACAGTGTAGGGGGGATAACAACAGTCAGGGTTATATGTCTAGTACAGTGTAGGGGGGATAACAACAGTCAGGGTTATATGTCTAGTACAGTGTAGGGGGGATAACAACAGTCAGGGTTATATGTCTAGTACAGTGTAGGGGGGATAACAACAGTCAGGGTTATACGTCTAGTACAGTGTAGGGGGGATAACAACAGTCAGGGTTATACGTCTAGTACAGTGTAGGGGGTTAACAACAGTCAGGGTTATATGTCTAGTACAGTGTAGGGGGGATAACAACAGTCAGGGTTATATGTCTAGGACAGTGTAGGGGGGGATAACAACAGTCAGGGTTATATGTCTAGGACAGTGTAGGAGGATAACAACAGTCGGGGTTATATGTCTAGTACAGTGTAGGGGGGATAACAACAGTCAGGGTTATATGTCTAGTACAGTGTAGGGGGGATAACAACAGTCAGGGTTATATGTCTAGGACAGTGTAGGGGGGATAACAACAGTCAGGGTTATATGTCTAGTACAGTGTAGGGGGTGATAACAACAGTCAGGGTTATATGTCTAGGACAGTGTAGGGGGATAACAACAGTCAGGGTTATATGTCTAGTACAGTGTAGGGGGGATAACAACAGTCAGGGTTATATGTCTAGTACAGTGTAGAGGGGATAACAACAGTCAGGGTTATATGTCTAGGACAGTGTAGGGGGTGATAACAACAGTCAGGGTTATATGTCTAGTACAGTGTAGGGGGGGATAACAACAGTCAGGGTTATATGTCTAGGACAGTGTAGGAGGATAACAACAGTCGGGGTTATATGTCTAGTACAGTGTAGGGGGGATAACAACAGTCAGGGTTATATGTCTAGTACAGTGTAGGGGGGATAACAACAGTCAGGGTTATATGTCTAGGACAGTGTAGGGGGGATAACAACAGTCAGGGTTATATGTCTAGTACAGTGTAGGGGGTGATAACAACAGTCAGGGTTATATGTCTAGGACAGTGTAGGGGGATAACAACAGTCAGGGTTATATGTCTAGTACAGTGTAGGGGGGATAACAACAGTCAGGGTTATATGTCTAGTACAGTGTAGAGGGGATAACAACAGTCAGGGTTATATGTCTAGGACAGTGTAGGGGGGATAACAACAGTCAGGGTTATATGTCTAGTACAGTGTAGGGGGTGATAACAACAGTCAGGGTTATATGTCTAGTACAGTGTAGGGGGGATAACAACAGTCAGGGTTATATGTCTAGTACAGTTTAGGGGGGATAACAACAGTCAGGGTTATATGTCTAGTACAGTGTAGGGAGATAACAACAGTATACAGTTATTGACTGAGGTCGAGGGAAACAGATGATCTGTTGAACCCGAAGGCAAACTGTTCGGCCTTGGGCAACAGTTTGCTGAGGGTCCAACAGATCATCTGTTGTCCGAAACTCCTTAATGTCGACAAGAAATCGCTGAGGATATGTTCGGCAGTCTTTATAACATTCTTGGTATTTCTGCTGTCACGATCGTCTAAGATTCGCTGTATTTCCGATGCTAGACCGAATCTGGGCCTACTGGTTGCCATTTTGTTGTGCAGACGATGAGAGAAGATAACTCTAATGTAAACAAAACATCGTTCTCACTCGGGCGTACTCGTATGTTTCCGTAAAGCGGTCAACAGTCGATTTTAACAGTAAATTTGGACCGGTGAACAAAACCGTTAAACTTTCGAGGGTTATATGTCTAGTACAGTATAGAGGGATTCTTCAAGCTACAGTTTTCACAGCTGGTTCGTTATTCAATAGACAGTTCCGATACCAAGACTTCCGTTATGACAGCTGACAGATAACCTTACAAAACATTGTATCTGGCAAAGTTTTATGGTCGTCGAAATTATCTCATTTGGAAATATTCTGTTTCCATGTAAAGATGGACATGTTAGTTCCTGTTATCACACTGGCTGGTTCCGTCGTTGTTGACCTTTATTTCATTAGGAAAGAAATATGATATTTATTTCTTGGAT